CAGAAACCGGGTGGTGCAGAGACGGTGTCTTCGAATGTCTGTGTAGCAGAGTCCCGTTCTAGCAGAGACTTGGGTGTTACAGTATATAGCCTACTAGAAAATTTTTCTGGTGATGATCAAATGGGGCATTTTTGTAAAAAAAATTAAAATGTTGAAAATTCTCTAAAAATCAAGAAATGCTGGAAATTGTCTAAAAAGCGCACAAAACAAAAAAAATTCTGAATTTTTGAAAAATCTATAGTTGAAACTTCTTAAAAAAATATTTTTGTGCGCTGTTTGGATAATTTCCAGCATTTTTTATTTTTTAAAAAATTTGAAATTTTGTTACAGTTTCGCTTTAATTTTGTCACTGTACTCCGATATGACCGAACTGTACAGTGCTGGCCTTTTCTCCTATTCAGTTACACCAAGATCGTGCAAAGAATGGTTGCCATGTCTAATTTTCTGAGCAGTGCATGAATTGGGCGTGGTCCGATCAGGGCATCACAAATTCTAATATCTGTTGTCAGAAACCATGACGTACAGATATGCATAAAGTTGTGCCACATTATGAGTTCGTACTGAGAAGGGCAGGGAAGCCCCATTCAATAATTTTTCCTTCACACTTCATGTATTAAAGTGACTATCTTAACGCTAAAGGGAGACTCGAAGGGTCCGAAAACAGGTTTGTATGTGATGGCGTGGGGAAATAGTCCTGCCACTGTCGAGAATCTCGTAGCTTGTCTCCCGACTACCCAAATTTAAAAAAAAATGTTGGGACATTAATAGTCAGGTCTCCCTTGATCTGTTGTGTGGGCGTTTGTTGGCTTCTGCCAGTTAATTCACTTGATGTAGGATATACCTACGAGCCGAATGGATGGTCCTTTAGTTGGCAGTGGCCTTACTCACGTTTCTACTTCTTGGTATGGAAAAATGGATCAAGAGCAAAAATAAATACTTCTATTTATTAATTCATTCAATTAATTTAACATTTTTCCAGCTGACGTAATTATAATGTGAGATTAGTTGTATGACAAATGTTTATAAAATATATAATACATGAATATATTACATAATTATATGTATAATATATAAAATTACTAACTACGTTTGTCGGTGTTCGAATACTTAACTGCAACACCATGTGCGTTTGTAGGTAGATACCAACGTTTCTGAGGAACATACCGCCTCCATCTTTTCTACTTAGCATTAAAAACAATGAGAACAGCATCGAAATTTTCACTTCCGTGAGGATCTAAAATTTCACAACTATTTTAATTACTTAAAAAACAGTAGATTCTTGAAATCAATATGACATCTGTGTCTATGAACTTTTAATGGGTTTGACAGCGATAACTAATAAGCTACTGGAACTAGGCATATTAAATGTTGAAAGAAGAAAAATTCTATTAACAATAATAATGATTATAAAAATTATGTTACATATTACTGCACGTAAGAGACCAAAAGGAATGTTGACTCGAGTATGACTTGAGGTCAGAACGCTAACTCATGAGCCAAATTGCATTTTACTGTAATGGTGGAAAGGCCCGTTGAAATTCTACAGGAATAGGTTGTTAGTATATTTACTCCTCACAGCATTTCTTCCCTTCCATTATGCCTTTCGTATCTTTGTTTCCTTCTCACCGTTCGTCCATATTTGTGGGTATGATTGTTGTGAGTCAGGATAATGACCTGTAGCTGGTTCTTTTGAACATGCAACAAATTTCGGGCTCTATAATGGCTGATATATATTTTTTTTTTTCTGAGCGACTATTAGTATTACAAGAAGGATTCTGCTTCATGAAATCTGAGCATACAGCGGAAGTCAATAAAATTTACAAACAGTTAAGTAAATCTTTTGAAACACGCATTTTTTTAATGCTTTTCAACACATCTCGACTCAGTTGCAAAGGCTGTTCGCGGCTGCGAACATATCTTATCTACTGTGTGTAACAGGCATGAGCCGGGATAGCTCAGTCAGTATAGTGACTAGCTACGGGCTGGACGACCGGGGTTCGATCCCCGACGGGGGCAGAGGATTTTTCCTCTAGC